AAAAAAAAAAAAAAAAAAAAAAAAAAAAAAAAAAAAAAAAAAAAAAAAAAAAAAAAAAAAAAAAAAAAAAAAAAACGGGGACAAAGAGAAGGATACAACGTGGATGAATTTCTTCTTTATTGTATCTTAAGTTGAGAGGTAATTTGTGTATTATCAACCCATCGCCTATTTGGGCCAGTTTTCGAAAAAATAGAAAGGTATGATTTTGCGTGTGTGCATTTGATGGGCTTCGTCAAATCTGCCAGGTCTTCTTCTTCGTGAGGAATAAGCATCTTACAAACCATAGCATGCGCAAAGCGTGATAACTGCGAAACACCTGAGGAGATTTGCCACTGCTATGCCTCGACGAGTGCCTTGAAGCGTGGCTTATATCGATTGTCAAATAAAAAACGACGGCTAGTGTTACAAGTGTGGAGTTTTTGTTTGACAATGGGGCCAAAAGTCTCCAAACGATACAGCAATTAACAAAGTGATGAGGGATTCACTGAGACTCCCATGTTCTCAGCTTACGACCGCTAATCTCTCCTAAGCCGCGCTAAAAGATTTTACGAATTTTAGACCGCCTTCACATTCTTCTTCTCTATTTATACTTTTCCGAGCCTACATGCTTCTCCATCCCAAAATCTTCTAAGCACCCTTAGAAATCTCTCTCGGTCTCACTCTCTCTCTCCGTTTTTATACACTCCGAACAAACATCATGAAAGGCTTCATGGTTTTTCTACTGCTTGCCATGCTAATAGCTTCAGCCATCACTACTCTCTCTGCAATACCAGAAGAAGAAGAATCATTCTTCAATGAGGAAAACAATACTGATGCAAAGGACGAAACCAAAAACCAGTTTGGAAAAAGCACTTCTCTAAGAAGCCGCTTCCTTTCCTACAGCAAGTGTGGGACGAAATGCAATTACTCAGAGATTTGCTGCGAAGGTAAGTGTGTGAATCCGAACTCGGACAATGAAAACTGCGGCAGCTGCAACAACGCGTGCAAGAAAGGCACTTCATGTGCGTATGGAATGTGCAGCTATGCATGAACACTAATTATCATGACGCACCAGATAGATCACTGCTACTGGATCGAGAAGGAATAAGGATATTGCAATATTAATTGCGCAGCTATACTTTTATACATAAAAATAATTTATAAGGACCCTTGAAATAAGAATATGGGATTGTGATCTGTAAATTAGCAGAGTCACTAATGAGAGAAACACGAATTCCAGAGTCATGACTTTGTGTAAATTAGCAGCATATTATGCATAAGCCCAAGCAAATAAGCAGCTTGCCTAACCTGCATGTTTCTTCATCAATAATAATCATTCTCTCTAAATTGTTTTATGCATGTCTCTTGTTCATATTCACCTAATTCGAGTATAATTAATATATATATATATATATATTCTTCGAAAACCCAACTTTGTTTGCTGCTGAGTTAACGTTTTGTGCCCCTTGGAATGAATTTAGGCCATGCAATATTATTATTCATAGAAAAAACACATGCAATAATATTCCTCTATCACCTAGGGCTTCAATATTGATTCTTCTCCCTCTCTCTATTTATAGCCCTTTCTAACCTGCATGCTTCTTCATCCAAGTTAAGCAGTCATATATACTTTGATCTCTTTTCTTCATACACACACAAAGTATACTTGCTAGCCTAGCCGTGTATATTGCATGATGATGAAATCTCTCCAAGTTTTCTTTATGATAGCCATGCTCATTATGGCTTTAGCCATTACTCTCTCTGCGACGGTACCAAATTAACCAAAGAGAAGCATTCTTCAGGCCAGGATCGTCAACAAGCCAGTTCCTTGCCTCTCAGTCGTCTCCAGGTCGGGATGGATGCGACCAAAACCCTCTTGCTTGTAAAGCCACTGAAGGCAGTGCGGGGACTGTGGAGTTGACATATCCAACTGTGGTTCTTGTGGGAAGAGATGCATCAGCTCAGAGATATATATCCTGCAACACTCATTGTATGAATCCAATGTCTCACAATCAAAACTGTGGCAAGTGCTCCAACCACTGCAAGTAATGCGCTTCTTGTGACAATGGAATGTGCGACTATGCATAGAAATATATATATATATATATATATATATATATAAATATTAATATATATCTCATGAACCCCCAGATCTACTTATTCTCAATAACGATCAAATGACATATATATGCATGTGCATATAAATATATATACATATTGATCCATCTATTATTTATTATTTTAGTCATTTAAGTATTTAATTGTATGTTGTTTTTAATATAAATGATTGTCTAAACTACAATATTTGAACTTTTAGATATAAGACGCATTTATATTTGAAACTTTGAAAAGTCCTTTAATTTTAATTTTTTTTTTTTTTTTCTTTTCCTTTCCAATCCATCTATATTTAGTACAGTACTATTGTATAATTGAGAGAGAGAGAGAGAGAGTCCACGTATACATTATTAACTGGACTTTTAATCACAATGGCATTGGCAATGCAAAGAGGCCATACTTTTTTTATTAACGTTTGGGCCATGACAATGCAAAGAAAATATGGCTTCTAAGTTCTAAGGGCTAGTTTGGCATTGATGTGCTTAAAAAAAACAGCTGCTTCTGCTGTGCTGTGAGAATAATCAGCTGTAAAATAAAGCTGCTAAGGTTTTGGTAAACGGTATTTGAAAAAGTTGTTTGAGTAGTCAAAGTGTTTGGTAAATTTTTATCAAAAGTGCTTTTATTATGTATAATGACACATTGGACAACATGCAATCACTCATGTTTACTTGTCATACGCATTGAATGCTTCTACTTTTCTCTAGCAGAGACTACTCCTTATGAGTCTCGCCTTTAGCGACTATCTGATCGCTTTATTGTGTTGAGGTTATTAGCCAAGACACTCACCCAACCGGTAGGTCATCGTGTCATTTAGGCTCATGCCTCACTCCTACTAGTCCAAGTACTGTTCTCATGTTGGTAGCAAGGAGTATGACACGATGCCTAGAACAAGCTAGCATCACACTCTGTGTCAAGTCTCGCTTTGATCCCATTTCGTTCTCGGCTCCGTGGCTTCTCGCATTCTTTAGCCCCCGTGGCTTGTATGTCTCTCGGTTGTCCTCATGATTATTTGGTCCTCAAAACCTTTAGGCATCTTGATTAATAACTTTGACGGTTAGTGGAGAAAAAGTTATCGGTCGCACGTTAGCGTGGGCGGAGTGGAGCAGCTATAGTTGAGCGCCACTTCGCACGTTATTTGAACACTAAATCGAAGACGTACAGAGATCGAGCTTGAAACGATGAATATTTAAATAAATCGAAAAATGAAAATAATGTGCGAAGTGGTATAAATCAAGAATTAAAGACAACGAGGCCTCCTAACCACATGAATGCAGTATGGAACATGATTCTAAACTATAAGAAAATTCATAATCAAGCATTAGGAGTTAAGGCTTTAGAGAATCGCACCTTTGTAATGTCATAGAGAATTCAGCTTCAAAGCAATACGACTCAAGCAATAGTAGTCTTCTAGCGAACGAGGAGCTGAAGTTCTTGATTAACTGTGAGAGAGAATCCAGAAATTGTGAGAGAAAGAGATGGAGAGAGAGAAGTGATGAGAACGTTCAGGTCTGAATGAAAAACAAAAGAGGAAATGTCACACCCCGGGATTGGGTCCATCGTAGCACAATATTGTCCGCTTTGGGCTCCCCTTTCTGCCCTCATGGTTTGGTTTCTGGGAACTCACGACCAACTTCCCAGTGCGTCACCCGTCTTGGGATTGCTCTAGCATCAACTCGTTTAACTTCAGAGTTCCCATGACTATGAAGCCAGTGAGCTCCCAAAAGGCATCGTGCTAGATAGAGGTGGGCATGTACATATAAGGCACATCACCCCCTCTTTGTTGGTCGATCTGGGATATTATAGGAAATTAAAAAAAATCTTATATTTTTAGCAGATTGAAAATATATTGGAGGGTTTCGGGAAGAAAAAAATGAATTTATATATTACGACATACTCAGTCCGTAATATATATATATCACGGTGTATATACAATCACGCCGTTAGAAAACACAAATTACCTTTTTAAGGCGTGTTTTCATATACCGTAAATATCAGTTATGAACGACACACATTACTCTCTTTTAAGGCGTGCTTTTGTTAATGTATGGTTTTTACTATTTTCTTTTGGCTTCCCTTGACAACTTTGTAATAGGAGGTGTAATGTAATTTATCAAGCTCAAGTCTAGATTAGGGAAAACTTTTATTGGTGTTCTTCTCTAATCTCTGCTATATGGTGGCTCAAGCAAGTTGACAAAGGTATTGTGCATTGCATAACATTACATTAAACAGTCTTCATAAAATGATGACTAGTCATCCGTTTCTCATATGACTAGTCATCCTTGCTTCTAGCTGGATAACAAACTGTTTTGTTCTATTCTTCTTTCTCTCTCTTTGCTGCCAAGTGGGTTTCTGACCTAAGGAATTTTTTGGTTTGTAAATACTACGATTTTGCTCATTTGGCGGCTGTCTCTTTTGGGTGGAAGTTTTGGAAAGATTGGCTTGCTTTCTTTCTCTTCTTCTTCCTCAAGAGAGAACCATATATTTCATCTATGAGTTTTTCCAATTGATATCTTTTTGAAAAACTGCTTTTGAAACCCGAATCTGCATCTAGCTACTTAAATCATCTCTCATTTATATCTAGGTCAGATTCAAGACTGATTTCTTCAAGAGTATGGTTTCTTGAAGAAATTGGTCATTCTCCTTTGAATCCAAATATTGGTTTCGGTCTGTGTTGGAGCTTGCAAGCTAGTGCCATGGGATGAACGAGCTGGAGAAGGAGCTGCCATTGCCATGAAGAACTGAGCTTCAAGTTTTGCTAAGTTGGAGAAGAAGATTGCACAAAGGAGGTATTGCTCATATTCCTAAATAGACCTAGGTGCTTCTTGAGCTTGGTTGTGTTTCCTTTGTAAGAATCTTTTTCTACTTAGTGGAGTGCCTGGTCGGTTGATGACTCCCAGTTTTTCCCAATGGTGGGTTTCTGGGTGAACAAAATCTGTTTTGCATATCTGTAATTTTTCTGGGTTTGTGTTCTTGGTGGTTGACTAGTCATCTTTATCTGCTGTTTGATGTTTACATGATAATGATGATTTCACACACTTTCACCATAGTTGTTGCTAGCACAGGGGATGCCTAGATTGACGGGTCCTTCTGAGTGCCTAGGTTGTCACTAGTAATCTTCTAGGGTTGCAGGTACATTGTGGCATGCTCTGTGTATTCTCTTGGTTGTGATTGTTCATGACTAGCAGTTGACTAGTCATATGTGTATTTGGTCAAGGTTTAAAGTGTGTGAAGATTGCTGTGTTGTTGTGTCTTGTTTGTGTGATTAAATTTACCCCTCGTCACCTAAGTACCATTTTCAATTGGTATCAGAGCGTCAGCTCTTAACACAAATAGAGAGATCCTAGGATTTGTTTTGGTGTTTAGGTGTGCTCGCTATGGAAAGGGATCGAGTTGCTGGATCTTGCAACTCCCCTCCCTATTTTGACGGCAATAACTATGCTGCATGGAGAGAAAAATTTGAGATATTCCTTGATGCTCTTGATGAGTATGCAAGTGGGTATCTCACAAAAGAGTGGGTTGCTCCGGTCAAGACTGTTGAGGGTGAGGTTGTGCCCAAGCCTAGGTCAGAATGGACTGAAGCGGAGGTGTTTGCCGCATATTCGAACAAGAAGGCCAGAAATGCCTTAGTTACAGCTTTGTCTAGCACACAATTTGCACATATACAACACATTCCTAATGCTAAACAAGCTTGGGATAAACTAAGGGTCGTTTGTAACACCCCGACCCCAAATTATCCCATGTTTTAATTTACTTAAGTAGAATTGAGAAATTACCCGTGGGATAGGGGTATTTTAGTCATTTTCTTACCCGGAAGGAATTTGAGAATTCCGGTTGTACCGTTGCGTAGAGCACGGTGAGATGAGTCCGTAGACACGTAGTGGGCTCGAATCGGAGTTGTAACGAGAGAGATATGATCAAAAGAAGCTCAGTGGCATAATCGTAAATATTTGGAAAATGGATTTTTGGTTAAAAGACGGAATTGCCCCCGTCTCTCACTCACTCTCTCTCTCTCCCGCGCGTCGCTCTCTCTCCTCTGGTTCGCGACGCCACCGCAGCCGGCCACGTTTTGGCCGGCCGTTCAGTCATCCGGCCACCAAAGTCGACGGGGCCGGTACCCAAAATGACCGGCCGCCGTCCGCCGTCCTACCCCACCTGTTCTCCGACGTCAGCCGCAGCGTGATACCGCCGGAAAATGCAGAAAAACGGCCGGTTTTTACAGATTTTCCGGAGCTCGTTCCGGCGATTCCGGCCACCAAATCTTGCGATCAAGGTATGGTTTCTCACCTATTTTCCGAGATCTAGCTGCCTGTTGGGTAGGAATTGATCGATTTGTAGCGTAGGCAACTCGATTTACGAATTGGGTTTCGGCCGGATTTCGGGATGAGATTCCGGCCACTTCCGGTCAGATTTTGGGGTATGCCCAAGAACAAAAGTGGCTCAGAATAGGGTTTTACATCTAGGATAGGAAGCTTGGCCGGCGGTTTGGAGTTTTCCGGCCGCCGGAAATTACTCAAGGCACCCACGCGCTGCCGGCGCGTGTGGCGGCGCGTGGGCTAGGAAAATGGACCGGATCGAGGTTCTAAAATGATCCTCATGGTTCTCACGAGCGCGTAGGTGTGCTCGGATCTCATTTTGAGTACCGTTGGAGTCCTGAACGGATATCGCATATCGCGTATTTTTCGGGTTCGCTAGGTTTGGACCGTTGGATGGTCCTGAAAGTTATAATATGTTGATCTAGGTATTACCAGGATCGTGTAGGATTCGACGGATCGTAAAACGGAGTCCCGGATACTCCGAAATGCCAACCCTGGGGTTAGGGTTTTAGTAACCGTCCGATCGTGCGATCGTGAGCGATCCGACCGTCCGATCTGGACCAAACTTGCAGGACGTGCATCCTAGAGCTTGTAGAACCTATAGGAACTTTCGGATCGGAAATTGGAGGTCGTGGGCCCCGCGGGCCCGTTTGACCAAGGTTGGGTAGTTTGACCCTGGTTTGTCTGTGGGACTTCCTAGGTAGTATTACATTCCTAGGAAGATTAAAATGACCGTGGTGACAGGTCCTGATGTCATGGGGATTATGGGGGATTATCGGATGCTAGTTGTTTGTTAAGGTGTTTGTATGATTAGAAATTATATGTTATATTTAATTATTGTGTGGAGGTATATGATATATAAGGAGATTGAATATTAGTTTACAGTGCTATACGCACTACCCCACGTACCCCTCATATTGTGATTATGCTCAGGCCCAGAGGGCTGGTGAGAATGTAGTGTGAGGTCGCACGCGTCTTTGGGTTAGCCGGCGTGTTGACAGACCCCGTACGTGGCCGGGTACGTCCCGACGTATGAGTGGGAGATATGATGGTATAAGGGCTGGTGAGAATGTAGCCAGGCCCAGTGTGAGGTCGCACGCGTCTTTGGGTTAGCCGGCGTGTTGACAGACCCCGTACGTGGCCGGGTGCGTCCCGACGTATGAGTGGGAGATATGATGGTTGAGGGCTGGTGAGAATGTAGCCAGGCCCAGTGTGAGGTCGCACGCGTCTTTGGATTAGCCGGCGTGTTGACAGACCCCGTACGTGGCCGGGTGCGTCCCGACGTATGAGTGGGAGATATGATGGTATGAGGGCTGGTGAGAATGTAGCCAGGCCCAGTGTGAGGTCGCACGCGTCTTTGGATTAGCCGGCGTGTTGACAGACCCCGTACGTGGCCGGGTGCGTCCCGACGTATGAGTGGGAGATATGATGGTATGATGGCTGGTGAGAATGTAGCCAGGCCCAGTGTGAGGTCGCACGCGTCTTTGGATTAGCCGGCGTGTTGACAGACCCCGTACGTGGCCGGGTGCGTCCCGACGTATGAGTGGGAGATATGATGTGTGATGGCTGGTGAGAATGTAGCCAGGCCCAGGTGTGAGGTCGCACGCGTCTTTGGATTAGCCGGCGTGTAGACAGACCCCATACGAGGCCGGGTGCGTCCCGTCGTATGAGGGGAGCTATGTGATTATGTTTGGTGTGTTGTGATGGATAAACCCGAGAATGTATGAATTTATATGGATGTGATGGTTTAATTGATATCAGGAGCCAGGATTGATAGGAAAGAGCTACGTGTGGCTTGATCCCTTAGTAGGGTACGTAGGCAGCCTGGGATAGCGCCTAGGTGCAGCCACGACCTAGACACCACTTAGGTGGTTTTATCGAGTATGATGCGGACCTCGTGGTTGGTCCCGAAACTTGGTTGAATTGAGGCTTGTCTGGTGGACTGAGTGAGCGAAGCTATGTATGGATGGATTTCGAATTGGATTTGTGCATGTGTGATGCATTAATTTATTTTGAAAAACAGTGTGAGTAGTTCTGCTAGAATCATTTGAAGGCCGGAGGCCATTTATGTAAATTGCATGAGATTATATTGTGCGTGCTGCTGGTTGAGTTATAAAATGTGTTTTATGCAGGTGGAAATTTTGGGGAATGTTCAATTTACAGGGGAGACTCTGCCGAAATTTTGGCAGAAAGTCTAGTGCCCTAAATCCTCTCTGGTAAAAGAGGACGTAGTTTTAAGGAGTGAACCCGGCGTGGGTGTGATGCCGGGGTCTCCGCAGGGTTCGTCTCGGGTTCCGGGAAATTCGGGGCGGGTCCTGTCATCGTTCATGAAGGGGATGACCAAGTTAGAACCCTAAAACTTCATATGGTGCTTGCACAATTTGAAGAACTTAGGATGTCTGAAACTGAGTCTATTTCTGAGTTCTATGGAGAGTTGAGATGATCACAAATGAAGCCATGAGTCTAGGTCAACCCATTGAAGAGCTTCTTGTTGTTCAGAAAAATCTTCGTGTTCTACCATCTAGGTTTAGAGCAAAGAAAACCGCAATCATGGAGGTCCAAAATTTAAATGAAATTAAGCTTGGCAAGCTTGTAGGAAAATTGAAAACCTATGAGATGGAATTGAATATGGAAGAAAATGACTCCAAAAAATCAAAAAAGGTTGCACTTCAAGGAGTGCATGTTTCCTCTCTGAAAGGTGGTGAAAATCCTCAGGTTTTGAGGATGAGATGGCCTTGTTTGTCAAAAAATTTAGGAGAATTCTTAAGGATAAGGGAAAGTTTGCTAGAGAGGGCAGCTCTGGTAGTGAGAAAAAGTTTTAGACCATCAACTGATCGGTTTAATGAGAGGAATAAGGATGTCAAACCTTTCACGAAAGATTTTAGAAAATCTGTCAAGTGCTTCACATGTGGAGGCATTGGACACTATGCTGCTGACTGTGCAAACAATCAGAAAAAATACTCCAAAGGAAAGGACAAGGCCATGAAAGTGAGCTGGAGTGAGAGTGAAAGTGAAGGGCTCTCAAGAGGATTCATCTTCCTCTGATGATGATGACCAACATGTTGCCTTTGTTGCCTCTGTACAGCCCATGTCTGATGAATCTGATTCTGAGTCAGATGACCTGTCATACGAGTCATTAGGAAGAAAATATGATTGTTTGTTTAAAGAGACCTTGTCCTTGAAAGAAGAGAGCCTCAAACTTGAGGCAAATAACCAAGATCTTCAACATGAAATTCTCATCTTAAAAGAAACCAAAAAGGAGTTGAGTGACAAATTTGAGTCTCTAGAAAAAGAAATTGATGCTCTTGTGTCAATTAGGAGTAACCTCGAGAACCAAGTTAATGTGCTCAAGGAAAGTAACATTGGTTTCCAGAACTCAAACAAACAGCTCCTAGGTGAATTGAATGAAGCAAATAGGAAGATTATATCTATGACCATTGGTGCATCAAAAATTGACAAAATGTTGAATATGGGAAAACTTCATGGGGACAAAGGTGGTCTTGGATTTAATCACTTTGGTTCTAGTTTGTCTAGTTCTACCACTAAGTTTGTCAAATCAGAAAAATCCAGTCACGATTCCTCTTGATGTTCAGCAGGTTGTCAAGAACCCTAAGTTTGTTCCAACTTGTCACAGGTGTGGGTTGACTGGTCATATTCGACCAATCTGTCATATGTATAGCAAAGATAAGACCATAAAATTGTCTCCAAAATCTAAAAGGAATCCCAGATCTTTGCAAGATCAAGTTGATCATTTGCTGAATGAAGTCACTAAGATAGCCAAACTTGTCTCCCTCAAAATGAGTTCTCCTATTGTGCCTAAGTCTACTTGGATTGCAAGAGGTCATACCAAATCTCTTGTTGTGCTAAATGCTTTTGCTGCTTCAAACATCAACTCTTGGTATTTTGATAGTGGCTGTTCCAAACATATGTCTGGGGATAAAAATGTTTTCTCATCTCTCAGCCCCTTTGATGGAGGCACTGTGACTTTTGGTGGAGGTCATAGGTCTCAAGTTGTTGGAAAAGGTACTGTTTGTATCCCTGGTCTGCCCGAGCTTAAGAATGTTAGATTTGTTGAGGGTCTCACATCCAATCTCATTAGTGTGAGTCAGCTGTGTGATGATGGAATAGTAGAAGTTAGATTCTCCAAGCATGGCTGCAAAATCATTGGAAAAGGTGGAAATGAGATTGTGAGCGTGGCAAGGTCTAGGGACAATTGCTTCTGCATTGATGGTGTCAATGATGCAAAAGAAGTTGTTTGCAACAAGGTTGTAAATGAAACAAGTATTTTGTGGCATCAAAGGCTTGGACATGTTAATTTTAGAGACTTGCATAAATTGTCCAAGAGAGACTAGTAAGTGGCTTACCAAAGCTGGAAAAATCTGATGAGCATGTTTGTGAAGGATGTCAATTAGGCAAACAAGTCAGAGTGTCACACAAAAAGGTCAAACACATTCAAACAAATGTAATTCTAGAACTTGTTCACATGGACCTTGTTGGTCCTATCCAAACCGTGTCCCTTGGTGGAAAGAAATATATTCTTGTCATGGTTGATGATTTCTCTAGGTTTACTTGGGTCTCATTTCTACGTGAGAAATCTGAAACTTTTCAAAGGTTTAAGTCTGTTTGTCACCTTTTGCAAAAAGAGAAGATGACCAGTCATCTGCCTCTTGTTAGAATTAGAACAGACCATGGCTCTGAATTTGAGAATTCTCAGTTTCTGAAATTTTGCGAAGAGATGGGAATTAAACATGAGTTCTCTGCACCTATTACACCTCAGCAAAATGGTGTTGTGGAGAGAAAGAATAGAGTGCTTGTAGAGATGGCAAGGGTGATGCTAAATAGCAAAAATCTTGCTAAACACTTTTGGGCTGAAGCTGTCAATACAGCTTGTTACATCTCAAACAGGGTATTTGTGAGGTCTGGTACCAAACAAACTCCCTATGAGATTTGGAAAGGAAAGAAGCCTAATGTGTCATATTTTAAGGTCTTTGGTAGCACATGCTATATTTTGAGAGATAGGGAGCATCTTGCTAAGTTTGATTCTAAGTGTGATAAGGGAATCTTTCTAGGGTATTCCACCTCAAGCCGAGCCTATAGAGTGTACAACTGTAGGTCCAGAACCATCATTGAATCCATAAATGTCACTATTGATGATTTTGCTGCCTCTATAGAGATGGCATTAGATGAGGATGGTCTTTTTCCTCCTCCTCCACTTGAGCAAGAATCTCCAGGTCTGGATCTTGTGGTTGACCTGTCAACTTTTGAAAATTCTGTCCCGGTTGACCTGTCAACCCCTTCAACTTCTAGTTCCATCTCCTCTGTCCAGGCTGCCAGCTCTCATACTGATCATAGTCCTCTCACTCCATCTGCGAGTGTCATTATTGGCCCTCTTAATCAGGGAGTGAGAACTAGGAAACAACTTGCTCAAGAAATTAGCCATGTGTGTTATGTTTCCAAGGAAGAGCCTAGAAATGTGAAAGAAGCCTTGCACCATGGTGAATGGTTTCTTGCAATGCAAGAAGAATTAAATCAATTTGTGAGAAATGACGTTTGGTACCTTGTTCCTAGACCAGTCCACACAAATGTCATAGGCACTAAGTGGATTTTCAAGAATAAAACCGATGAGCAAGGTAATGTGGTGAGAAATAAGGCTAGATTGGTTGCTCAAGGATACACTCAAATGGAAGGCATTGACTTTGATGAAACTTTTGCCCCTGTTGCAAGATTAGAATCAGTTAGATTGCTTCTTGCCATTGCTTGTCATTTGAAATTCAAACTTTATCAAATGGATGTCAAAATTGCCTTCTTGAATGGTGTCCTAAATGAAGAGGTCTATGTTGAGCAGCCAAAGGGTTTTGAAGATCCACATCATCCAAATGATGTGTTTCGGTTAAAAAAGGCTCTATATGGTTTGAAACAAGCTCCTAGAGCATGGTATGAGAGGTTATCCTCTCATCTTCTAGGAAATGGGTATGTTAGAGGGTCCGTTGATAAAACGTTGTTTGTGAAAAGGTTTAAAAAGGATGTCTTGATTGCTCAAGTGTATGTTGATGATATTGTGGTTGGTTCTACCTCTGATTTGCATGTTCAAGATTTTATTCATGTCATGACTAGTGAATTTGAAATGAGTCTTGTAGGCAAGCTTAATTATTTCTTAGGTCTTCAAATCAAACAGAGTCATGATGGGATCTTTGTATCTCAATCTAAATATGCAAAAAATCTTGTGACAAAATTTGGTTTGGAGGGAGCAAAATCTGCAATAACTCAAATGAGCACTAGTACTTAGATTCATAGAGACTTGCATGGCAAAAGTGTGGATCAAACTCTCTATAGAAGCATGACAGGAAGTCTTCTCTACTTGACTGCTACTAGATCTGACATTTCTTTTAGTGTTGGTGTGTGTGCTAGGTTTCAAAGTGACCCAAAAGAGTCTCACTTGTTTGCTGTTAAGAGAATCATAAAATATGTGAGTGGGACTATTGAGTTTGGGTTGTGGTATACCTATGACACTTGTGTCAATCTTGTTGGGTATAGTGATGCCGATTGGGCAGGTTGTAGTGATGATAAGAAAAACACTTCCGGGGGGGTCTTCTATGTAGGCAACAACCTTGTTGCTTGGCATAGCAAAAAATAGAATTCTGTCTCCTTATCCACTGCTGAAGCAGAGTATGTTGCAGCTGGGAGTTGTTGTACTCAACTCCTTTGGATGAGACAAATGTTGGAAGACTATGGTCTTGCTCAATCATGCTTTCTAATCTATTGTGACAACATGAGTGCCATAGATATTTCAAAAAATCCTGTTCAACACTCTAGGACTAAGCATATAGACATTCGGCACCATTTTATTAGAGATCTTGTGGAAGACAAAATTTTATCTTTGGAATTTGTTCCCTCTGAAAAACAGCTAGCAGATATACTCACCAAGGCCTTGGACTTTCAGAAACATGGTACACTTAGGCAGTCCATTGGCCTTTGCTCAATTGTTTGATTAGCTTGTCTGCTCCTTGTCTTCAGCACACTTCAAACAGTTGACTAGTCATCTTGCTTGTAGTTGCCTAGTCAAGTCCAAAAAAAATTTTGTTTTGATGTTGATATGTCACTGTTCATATCACTCATCTCTGTTGGTGTGCATGTTGAATGCTTTTGTGCTTTGTTTGACTTGTGCATAATCCATTTTCTTGTTTTTGAGCTGTTAGTTGAGACCAAAATCATGCTATCTTGTCCTCTTGGTGAGCCATGTATCTCGGCTTCATTTTGGACTATTCTTGTTATTATCTCTTAGCTGGTCTAACTCTCTTAGCCAATCTATTTCAAATTTAAAAAAAAAAAAAGGAAGTGTGACCAATGTAGTGACGGCTCTAGGAAGGAATAAGGTGGTTTGATTGAAGAATCTAGAGCAAAGAGCCGTAAAATTGGGCCATTCAAAGCACTTATGTTCGGGATGTGCAAGTACCACAAAATAAATCATCAAATATTTTGTCAATAGAGAGTGCTGATTTTTTGCTGTGAGCCCATACTATGATCATGTCTTAAGAATGCAATGTATACGTGTCTCTCCAAGAAAGATCAGATATCATCTCTTGTGTCCCTTGGCTCTAAACCTCCTTCTTTCCTAAATATGCCTTGTCTCTGAGCATGAATTGCATCTCATTCTCTGTCTCTCAGAGTTGATTGTCTATGTACACTGCATATGGTTTTAAACTATTCTTCCTTTTCATTCTCTTTCCTTCGTGTGTTGAAGACTTGGTTTAGACTATTGTGCTAATGCAACTTTGATCACTTGATATATGTGCTAGTTCATGCTTATGTTTTTAGAAACCAAAATCATGTCTTTCACAGGGTCGATATTATTTGGTGTTTGTCATAATGATGTTTTAGTTGACTAGTCATCTAGTGGTCATCTGAGTGTTTTGCTTTGATGTTCGTTCTAATATTGCCTTAGTTGACAGGTCATCATATTTGTGGTTGACTAGTTCATCCGGTTCTACCTGTGCCAATTTTGCCTGAGTTGACTAGTCATCTTGCTTGTGGTTGCCTAGTCATCCGCTTTGTCTCTTGACCGATTGCATTTTCTTTTTCTATTTTGTCGTTTTTTTTTTTTTTTTTTTTTTTTTTTTGCGGTACCTTTTATTTTAGGGTTGTGTCGTTTGAGATTCTTTTCCTTTTTAGGTTAGTTTCCCTCTCCTTCGTCAGTATCATCAGTCTCGATTCCAATCACAACTTCCTCCTTCTCTTCCATTCCGCTCTGTTCTGGTCTCTTCGCCCCTTCTTCCAGTTGTTTTTCTCTTCCAAATTTCTTCCCTGCTGCTGGCCATGTCTTCCTCCAAGCCTCTCCACACTTACCACCGTCACTCCAAATCAAAATCCACTAACAGGGTGGATTTCATTCCTTCAATTCCTAGGGCTCCTAGGATCCGTCCCTCTTCCTCTGTTCCTGTTGGAGATTCCTCTCCTTTTGTGTCTTTTGCGGCTGCCTCCTTCTTTGATGAGGTTGTCTCAAAGAGAAAATTTATTCCTGAGAGGACTTATCAGTTTGATGTTGTTCCCTTGGCGGCTCAGGAATCTGCAAATCAGATTTTGGAGCACTACCACCTTCATGCCCTAAACTCTCTCTCTGGTAAGTTTAATATCTCTGTCGTTCAAGAGTTTTACTCTAACTTTCCTGCTGACCCTAAGGAGTCAAAGTATCAGATTTTTGTTAGGTCAATCCCCATTACTCTGAGACCATCTGTTCTCAATCGGGTCTTAGGTTTTCGATCATGCCCTGGTTTTGATTATGCAAAATTTGCTCTTGCTTCTGCTGAATACTCTGTTGATCTTTTTAAATCCATGGCTTACACTGATCAATCTATGCCTTTGACTTCTAAAGGTCTGCCTATCAAGTCTTACCTGTCACCTTCTTATAAATTTTTGTGGGACTTTATCCGTCATAATGTTCTCCCCACTGGGAACAATTCTAATCCCACTCTTGCTGCCTGCCAACTCATGATTTCCATGGTGAATCATGATAAAATTCCCCTTGGTGATATCCTTTATAATGCCAATCTTGGAAAAACCATTGGTCATGGTACCAAGCACAAGGGGACTCTTGTGTTCCCCTGTCTGATTCAGCGCCTATGCGAGAGAAACAGGATGGTATTTCATGATTCCGATCAGTGGCATCCTCCCATTGCTCTTTATGGCAAGGCCTCTGCTGCCCTTAGCCAGAAAGTTTCCAGAACCTTTCTCACTTCTATGTTGTCTTCCTCTGAGAATGCCTCTCTCGGAGCTCAGCTGGCTGCCAAGGAGGAGTATATTCAGCATCTTTTGAGCCTCATTCCATCCACTTCGACTCCTGCTGCTGCTGCTGCTGATGCAGATACTCAGCCTGCTCCTGCCACTGTTGAGGACTCAAATGACTCTGTGGATTCTGGTGGCTGTTTGGTTTTTTAGCTTGGTGTTGCTCTTGGCTGTGTCCTAGATAGGAAAATTAATTCTGGATAGGTTGTGCATTTTGATAGGAGGAGTTGTTTTGTAATCTCCTTGTGGGTAGTCTGTGCATTTTGCTAGGGGGGATTGTTTTTGTAAACACATTATGGGTAGTCTATGCATTGTGATAGGGGGAGTTGTTCTGTCCTGTTTTGAACAACTGGTATTTGACTAGTCATAACTCTATATTCTGTACTATTTTAAACAACTGTTATTTGACTAGTCATCCTTCTCTGATTATGTTCTGTTAACCTTGTTCATATATGCCTATCACTTTGTGGTTAATCCCTTTTGTATGCTGTTTCTATCTCTCTGCCTTTTTGCACTTTCCTTATCCACAAGGGGGAGAACACTCTCAACCCCACATTGCATATTGTTTTAAAATTTCTGTGATAATATGATTGTTTTTGTGCCGGGAAGATTGGTTGTTCTTGCAGGTACCTTCATTCCATCATCTCCTTAGTCTCGGTTTTGGGTTGAGTGTTCTTAGAGAGTGTGTTGTCAAGGAAAGCCAAAAAGGGGGAGATTGTTAATGTATGGTTTTTACTATTTTCTTTTGGCTTCCCTTGACAACTTTGTACTAAGAGGTGTAATGTAATTTATCAAGCTCAAGTCTAGATTAGGGAAAACTTTTATTAGTGCTCTTCTCTAATCTCTGCTCTATGGTGGCTAGTCATCTGTTTCTCATATGACTAGTCATCCTTGCTTCCAGCTGGATAACAAATTGTTTTGTCATATTCTTCTTTCTCTCTCTCTGCTGCCAAGTGGGTTTCTGACCTAAGGAATTTTTTGGTCTGTAAAGGCTACGATTTTGCTCATTCGGTGGCTGTCTCTTTTGCGTGGAAGTTTTGGAAAGATTGCCTTGCTTTCTTTCTCTTCTTCTTCCTCAAGAGAGAACCATATATTTCATCTATGAGTTTTTCCAATTGATATCTTTTTGAAACACTGCTTTTGAAACACAAATCTGCATCTAACTACTTAAATCATCTCTCATTTATATCTAGGTCAGATTCAAGACTGATTTCTTCAAGAGTATGGTTTCTTGAAGAAATTGGTCATTCTCCTTTGAATCCAAATATTAGTTTTGGTCTGTGTTGGAGCTTGCAAGCTAGTGCCATGGGATGAACGAGCTGGAGAAGGAGCTGTCATTGCCATGAAGAACTGAACTTCAAGTTTTGCTAAGTTGGAGAAGAAGATTGCACAAAGGAGGTATTGCTCATATTCCTAAATAGACCTAGGTGCTTCTTGAGCTTGGTTGTGTTTCCTTTGTAAGAATCTTTTTCTACTTAGTGGAGTGTCTGGTCGGTTGATGACTCCCAGTTTTTCCCAATGGTGGGTTTCTGGGTGAACAAAATCCGTTTTGCATATCTGTAATTTTTTTGGGTTTGTGTTCTTGGTGGTTGACTAGTCATCTTTATCTACTGTTTGATGTTTACATGATAATGATGATTTCACACACTTTCACCATAGTTGTTGCTAGCACAGGGGATGCCTAGATTGACGGGTTCTTTTGAGTGCCTAAGTTGTCACTAGTAATCTTCTAGGGTTGCAGGTACATTGTGACATGCTCTGTGTATTCTCTTGGTTGTGATTGTTCATGACTAGCAGTTAACTAGTCATATGTGTATTTGGTCAAGGTTTAAAGTGTGAAGATTGTTGTGTTGTTGTGTCTTGTTTGTGTGATTAAATTTACCCCACGTCACCTAAGTACCATTTTCAGCTTTGTCATATGCCATAAACATGAATTATTAACAACACGAATAAAAAGCATGCCGTAAATATCAAGTCATATAAGCTCCAATTTGGTGCAGTGCTTGTAAGATACGTAAATCACAGGATGAAGTTTCAACTTATGGATGGGAGGAATTTGGATGAATTTCTTCTTTAATTGTATCTTAAGTTGAGAGGTAATTTTGTTATTATCAACCCATCGCATATTTGGGCCAGTTTTCTGAAAAATAGAAAGGTATGACCAAGTGATGAGGGATTCACTGAGACTCCCATGTTCTCAGCTTACGACCGCTAATCTCTCCTAAGCCGCGCTAAAAGATTTTACGAATTTTAGACCGCCTTCACATTCTTCTTCTCTATTTATACTTTTCCGAGCCTACATGCTTCTCCATCCCAAAATCTTCTAAGCACCCTTAGAAATCTCTCTCGGTCTCACTCTCTCTCTCTGTTTTTATACACTCCGAATCCGAACAAACATCATGAAAGGCTTCATGGTTTTTCTACTGCTTGCCATGCTAATAGCTTCAGCCATCACTACTCTCTCTGCAATACCAGAAGAAGAAGAATCATTCTTCAATGAGGAAAACAATACTGATGCAAAGGACGAAACCAAAAACCAGTTTGGAAAAAGCACTTCTCTAAGAAGCCGCTTCCTTTCCTACAGCAAGTGTGGGACGAAATGCAATTACTCAGAGATTTGCTGCGAAGGTAAGTGTGTCAATCCGAACTCGGACAATGAAAACTGCGGCAGCTGCAACAACGCGTGCAAGAAAGGCACTTCATGTGCGTATGGAATGTGCAGCTATGCATGAACACTAATTATCATGACGCACCAGATAGATCACTGCTACTGGAATAAGGATATTGCAATATTAATTGCAAGGAATAAGGATATTGCAATATTAATTGCGCAGCTATACTTTTATACATGAAAACAATTTATAAGGACCCTTGAAATAAGAATATGGGATTGTGATCTGTAAATTAGCAGAGTCACTAATGAGAGAAACACGAATTCCAGAGTCATGACTTTGTGTAAATTAGCAGCATATTATGCATAAGCCCAAGCAAATTAGCAGCATATTAGTCACTCCTACTAGTCCAAGTACTGTTCTCATGTTGGTAGCAAGGAGTATGACACGATGCCTAGAACAAGCTAGCATCACACTCTGTGTCAAGTCTCGCTTTGATCCCATTTCGCCCTCGGCTCCGTGGCTTCTCGCATTCTTTAGCCCCCGTGGCTTGTATGTCTCTTGGTTGTCCTCATGGTTATTTGGTCCTCAAGACCTTTAGGCATCTTGATTAATAACTTTGACGGTTAGTGGAGAAAAAGTTATCGGTCGCACGTTAGCGTGGGCGGAGTGGAGCAGCTATAGTTGAGCGCCACTTCGCACGTTATTTGAACACTAAATCGAAGACGTACAGAGATCGAGCTTGAAACGATGAATATTTAAATAAATCGAAAAATGAAAATAATGTGTGAAGTGGTATAAATCAAGAATTAAAGACAACGAGGCCTCCTAACCACATGAATGTAGTAGGGAACATGATTCTAAACTATAAGAAAATTCATAATCAAGCATTAGGAGTTAGGGCATTTGAGAATCGCACCTTTGTAATGTCATAGAGAATTCAGCTTCAAAGCAATACGGGTCAAGCAATAGTAGTCTTCTAGCGAACGAGGAGCTGAAGTTCTTGATTAACTGTGAGAGAGAATCCAGAAATTGTGAGAGAAAGAGATGGAGAGAGAGAAGTGATGAGAACGTTCAGGTCTGAATGAAAAACAAAAGAGGAAATGTCACACCCCGGGATTGGGTCCGTCGTAGCACAATATTGTCCGCTTTGGGCTCCCCTCTCTGCCCTCATGGTTTTGTTTCTAGGAACTCACGACCAACTTCCCAGTGGGTCACCCGTCTTGGGATTGATCTAGCCTCAACTCGCATAACTTCAGAGTTCCCATGACTCTGAAGCCAGTGAGCTCCTAAAAGGCATCGTGCTAGATAGAGGTGGGCATGTACATATAAGGCACATCACCCCCTCTCTGTTGGTCGATCTGGGATATTATATAAAATTTAAAAAAAAATCTTATATTTTTAGCAGATTGCAAATATATTGGAGGGTTTCGGGAAGAAAAAAATGAATTTATATATTACGACATACTCAGTCCGTAATATATATATATATATATATCACGGTGTATATACAATCACGCCGTTAGAAGACACAAATTACCTTTTTAAGGTGTGTTTTCATATACCGTAAATATCAGTTATGAACGACACACATTACTCTCTTTTAAGGTGTGCTTTGTCATATGCCATAAACATGAATTATTAACAAGACGAATAGAAAGTATGCCGTAAATAACAAGTCATATAAGCTCCAATTGGTGCAATGCTTGTAAGATACATAAATCACAGGATGAATTTTCAACTTATGGATGGGAGGAATTTGGATGAATTTCTTCTTTAATTGTATCTTAAGTTGAGAGGTAATTTTGTTATTATCAACCCATCGCATATTTGGGCCAGTTTTCGGAAAAATAGAAAGGTATGATTTTGCATGTGTGCATTTGATGGGCTTCGTCAAATCTGCCAGGTCTTCTTCTTCTTGAGGAATAAGCATCTTACAAACCATAGCATGCGCAAAGCGTGATAACTGCGAAACACCTGAGGAGATTTGCCACTGCTATGCCTCGACGAGTGCCTTGAAGCGTGGCTTATATCGATTGTCAAATAAAAAACGACGGCTAGTGTTACAAGTGTGGAGTTTTTGTTTGACAATGGGGCCAAAAGTCTCCAAACGATACAGCAAATTAACAAAGTGATGAGGGATTCACTGAGACTCCATGTTCTCAGCTTACGACCGCTAATCTCTCCTAAGCCGCGCTAAAAGATTTTACGAATTTTAAACCGCCTTCACATTCTTCTTCTCTATTTATACTTTTCCGAGCCTACATGCTTCTCCATCCCAAAATCTTCTAAGCACCTTTAGAAATCTCTCTCGGTCTCACTCTCTCTCTCCGTTTTTATACACTCCGAACAAACACCATGAAAGGCTTCATGGTTTTTCTACTGCTTGCCATGCTAATAGCTTCGGCCATCACTACTCTCTCTGCAATACCAGAAGAAGAAGAATCATTCAATGAGGAAAACAATACTGATGCAAAGGACGAAACCAAAAACCAGTTTGGAAAAAGCACTTCTCTAAGAAGCCGCTTCCTTTCCTACAGC